CATATATATATATTATATATATATATATATATATATATATATATATATATATATATATATATATATATATATATATATATATATATATATATATATATAATATCCTGATAGAGGGCGAGCACAGTCTAGGTAATTCTAAAGCCTTGATATTGGGAAACAGATATATATACATATATAATATATTTTATATATTCTGTATTTGAACAATATAATAATGTATAGAGCAATAGTCTATTGAAAGATATAGATTTTGTAATATATGTATATATTAATTTATAAATATATTAAATGAAGGACCTTACAAGAGAACATAGGCCTACATCAAAATAATACTCACTAAACTAGTGTTACAATAAAAAAGGGAATTGTATCAATACATATAATGTTATATTCACTGACATCACACTATATTGGCATTCATCCCAGAAGAAAACTTATCAATAAGCTTAGCTTGCCTTTAATTTTTAGAAGCAAATGGTAAAATCGGTTACTGTTATATAGGAAAGGATAATAATTCTAAAGCCCTACATGCCTATACTCATATATCAATTAAGTAGGAAAGTAAAGACTCACCTGTAGAGAATATTTATTTTTTCAGAAATGTATTTTTTCATAGCTACATGAAAATGGAATTGTTCATGCCACTGCCACATACATAGCATGCAAGACACTTTCACATATTAATATGTGTGTAGGAGAGAGAAACCAAACATGCACCCATTGATATTTCCCTTTCTTTTAGCAAAAGTAAGAAAGCCATGGCAAAGTGGAAAATATACAGTATACCTCTGGGAATTCTTATACGGTTTACTTCAGGACCCAGAATGCTGTTCGCTGATCACGTGGACCAATAAAGAGAGCAAAACATTCCGAATCAACAATGCACATGAAATTGCGGCATTGTGGGGCACGGTTAAAAACCGACCAACAATGGATGATAAAAAATTACTCAGAGCTCTCAGATATTATTACAAAACGAAAATCCTCAAAAAGGTTCGAAGAAATGATAATTATGTAAAATTGTTCCTTCATTTGTATCTCAATTTGTAATATTCTAACTCTATTTTAGGATCATCATCATGCATGCTTTCAGATTCGTCGCGCCATTAGCATGCATGTATACGTTACGTTTGAAAGAAGAAAAATATATAATTAACTGCTGATTCACACTATTTATAACCATGCAAAGCTACGTTTTAGGCCGCGTTTACACTATGACGCTACGGCAAATTTACCGTAGCGTAGTGATTTGCATCCGGAGTGCCAAACGTAGTGGTCCGTAGTTAATACGTTACGGCAAATCACTCCGCTGTAGTGTAAACACAATATTAAGAAACGTAGTGAAGTTTTAACGGAATTGATTTCCGTAGTTAGTACGCTACGGCAAACCACTCCGTTATAGTGTAAACACAATATAATTCCGTAGTTAGTACGCTACGGCAAACCACTCCGATGTAGTGTAAACACAATATAGTCTTAATACTAGAAACATAGTAAATTTTTAACGGAGTATTAGCCGTAGCGTCATAGTGTAAACGCGGCCTTAATCGAATCTATTCACGTCCATTCTTTCATTAGCATTAGCATTAAAATTACTATATATGTACATATTCATGAATCATAATTCATCTGGTACGTGATCGAAATAATTTGATATGAATTTTGATAGAATATAGGCCTAGAAAAACTGTTTAATGTTCCTCAGAACAGAATTTTACCTTTCTTGATTATTTTATCAAAAATGTATAAAAACAATTTTCCAGATTATTTATGTATAGCATTTGTAACATGTGATTCAGATTGCAATAAAGAACTGTAATTTCTGAAGATTTTTCCATACTTGTTGGTTAGGAAAAAGATGCTCAGGGTCACGCGCGATTCCATCTTTTATCCTATATACCTATGAGGCAATTGCATCATGTATTTTATATTAACCTCTATATAATTTTTTCCTACACTAATAAGTTCTCGAATAAGTTTCGCATTATCCAGAAAGTAAATGGTAAATTAAATTTGAAAACTATATGAGCTGAATTCATATCAGAAGACGGATTTCCGTCTAAGACGGGAAACTCGCCTAACTTTCCCGTCGTCACACACCGGAAAGTTAGACGAAAAAGTTGAGACGGAAAACCCGTCATTAACCGAATTTATATCTGGACGAGTTTCTTGTCTTAGACGAGTTTCCCGCCTCAGACAGAAATCCGTCTTCTAATATGAATTCAGTTTATGACTATTGAGAAAGTTACTTAACTAAAATTTATTACTAGTTATCCTTCTATTTTTCTATCCATCATAACAAATGTTAGATAATAGTCCTTTTCATTTTGATTAAGGCTTTCGGAAATAAAACGTTTTCCACTGGAACTTACACGAGATAATAGATAAAAGCTCTTTAAAGTGCTTAAGTAACAAAATTTGACCTCGCGTTTAAATTATTGCTCTGTAAAGAAATGCAGAAATAATAAATATTTATGTACATAACAATAGAAAGCACAGCAGTTAAGAAATATGAACATTTCCGTGTTTCTATACAGTTATAGAAGCAGTTATAGAATTTGGGAGAACGAAAATTAATCAGTGGGAAAACGAGACGCATGAAGGGCGAGTTTTCCACGTTATTTCGAGTTCTCCCAAACTCTATAACTGCAAGATACAAGTGTTTCTACAACTGTATAGTAAGTAGTACAGGGAAATGTTTTAACGGAAGAAAAGTTTTTGTAGCTATATTTCTATATTTTTTATATCAATTTACAAATCCTCATCAGTACCTTAGCAAAAATCCACTCGATCTGTTCCCCGACCTTTTGCTCTTCAATTTGACCATAAATTGTCAAGTTGTCCTCCATTTAAACTGAGAATTCTCTTTTTGTCCTGCTGTTCCTTGATTTCGGTGTGAAAATCAATGTTGCGAGATGGGAAATTTCCCGCGCTTCTCGACCAATCAACGCCCACGTCCTATAAATGCTATATTATAATTAGCTTCTGTAGCCTCCAATCTGTGGATAATTGGAGATGTTGATATGCAACTGCCCATCACTATGATGTCACGATGCGTATCACAATAACTTACTACCTATGTACAAGTTAAAAGAATTTCAAACAATAATTCTCAAACCAGCGCGTCAATTCTGTATTTTTCAGGTCAAAGGACATAAAGCTGTTTACCAATTTCTATCTATACCATACGAAACAGAAGGATGTGACCAAGGAGCAAATACGTCCTGTAAAACTGGTATACCAGGCATGGTTGTCTCTCCCGAGCACAGTTTAAAAGACTTTAGGGCAATAACATCAGACTGTAGCGAAAGACTGACAAATCATCATGGAATATCCGTTAACTATCTGCAAAATACGAAATACAATCCTGAAAGGGCCGTAGACAATCGCGAAGACACGGAGGATAGCTTTGATGAATCAAATGGGGACAGTTCTAGAGCAGAAAGTTCGTCTGAATCTTCTTCGTTAAGTGATAGTAATATGAAAGGTTTATACGAGCTACAAACAGACGTAGTAAATAACAATGTATTCGATCATATTACTGAAAATATGGATGTTGTTTTCAATGATGACAGTAGAGTAGACATTATACCCGAAGATATATTCCATATAGATTAAAAAGACTTTAAAGTTTCAAGAGTTTCGAGACGTTTTCTTGTCTCATGCTGCTGAAAGCTTTCCTAACGAAGAACCATCTCTCCAAACCCCAAGTCGACCAAAACAGCTGAAAAGTACTTTCTTTGACAAACCGACCATTCATGGAGGGATTTTGACCTGCGGGTCAGATGTGTGAAAGCTTTGCAAAATACAGGGCGTATAAAAAAAGAAGACCTTAAGAGATTAGCCTATTGTTGTAATTTTAATGCCTGAACGCTACGCTAAGCCACGCATGCACAGGTCCGTAAAAACGCATAATTTAATTGAATTTTATGCCATGGATTATTTAGAAGATTTTCATTTCATCCAACATGTCAACATATGAATATCAGTTTAATATACTTGGTCATTTAACGTAGCGCTTAAGCCTCAATACAAGCATCAAATAAAATATTATGATTTATTTTACACCTATCAACACAAAGTACTGTTCGCTTGTACATACAACAAAGATATTGTAATGTACGCACGTGGCTCGGTCAATATTTTACGCATCCATACACTTAGCACGGTTCAGGCATTGAAATTATAACAATAATAGGACAATTTTTAAAGGTCTTCTTTTTTTTATACACCCTGTATATCTACTATCTAATGCAATGTCATACATATCAGTACTTCACTGTACTCATTGGCAGCCGAATGGCTAGGCGTGTCAACTATTTACTTAAATATTCAAATTTTCAATAAAGCTGCATTTGCCTGCCTTGTTACAGTAAGTATGGCGAAAACGTATTAAATGACAGGGTAACGATACAATTCTGCAATACTAGATCCCCCTTATTACGTTTTCGTAGCGCTTTGCATTGTGGTTATAGTGGTATCACTGATAAAGATAGCGGCCTCGAATGTTTTCGCGAATATTTTGCTGTTGGCTATCGCGCTGTTCGCGCACCTGACCCTAGCTTTTTTTTAAAAGTTCTTGCACGGGTCAGGACAAAAAATAAGCCATCTTGAATATCAGTGATACCACTTTAACCGCAATGCAAAGCGCTACGAAAACGTGATAAGGGGAATCATCAGTTGTGGATGCCTGTTTACGGGCCACGTCACCCGCTGCATATATAGTAATTATAGTTATATTTTATTTATTCCTAATGTTTACAATTTATATTTGATATTCAAATTAAACATCGTTATTATACCTTAAAAATATTGAAAAATACTCGACATATTTTAAAAATTACGTCACATGTTTACAAACATGTATGCATGATAGTTTTACTACAAAATATATTACTATTAAATACACTTACATCACTATTTGGCTAAAAAATAGCCCGTCTGAAAAGGAAAAATATACAATTCAGCAATTTGTTCATTGCAAGCCTGTTGTTAAATAGGCTACAAGCGTTTTCATATGATGAATACACAATCTCTTTGATTGTCTTAGATTGCAATGTGTAACTTGTGATATCAAAACGATTGCATGTTTGTAGTGGGCTCCATGCATGCAGACATCCAGTAAAAAGCCGGTTTTCCACTTGTGAATTTTTTCGCGCGAATTAAGCAAATTATCCAATTAGTTCCAGATGGTTCCAGTTGAGAGACCAAAGAAAAATGAAAAATTCTCTTCGCGCGAAAAATTTGCAAGTGAAAAACCTGCATTATAAAAACACGCCGTTAAATCTGATTGAAAAGTTTTCCGCCGGCTGAATCGCATCGCTCAGTAGGTGTCACCGTGTCTTTAAATCATATAATTATACAAATGATGAATGAGGAGAAAGATGGAATTTTCCATTCCACGAGGCGACGTATATCACCAAAATACATCAATGTTATCGATTATAATTGTTATTGCATTATACTAATACTATACAATACTACAGTATACTATACAACACAATACTATACTATACTATACTATACTATACTATACTATACTATACTATACTATACTATACTATACTATACTATACTATACTATACTATACTATACTATACCATACTATACTATACTATACTATACTATACTATACTATACTATACTATACTATACTATACTATACTATACTATACTATACTATACTATACTATACTATACTATACTATACTATACTATACTATACTATACCATACTATACCATACTATACCATACTATACCATACTATACCATACTATACCATACAATACCATACTATACCATACTATACCATACTATACTATACTATACTATACTATACTATACCATACTATACCATACTATACCATACCATACTATACCATACCATACTATATTATACTATACCATACCATACCATACCATACCACACCATACCATACCATACCATACCATACCATACCATACCATACCATACCATACCATACCATACCATACCATACCATACCATACCATACCATACCATACTATACTATATACCATATAATATATACCTGAGTTTCATGTCTAAAATCCCGCCATTTTGTTTCGTAAAATTATGCATTTGAATTTAATTCCATCGATCCCACGACTAGGATACGATTAAAATTTTGACATCACAGCCGCCATATTGGTGTTCCAATTCAAAAGAATTTTAATTACACTCTTTTGTCTGGAACGCCAACATGGCCGCCATGCCATGGCTTTAATTTGTTGAGTTGGTCACTTGGTACCTGGAGAAAGAATGCAAAAACTCTATACAGGGTGTATAAAAAACTGCAACCATATAATTTGCATAACAGCTACTGCTAATTAGCATTTCAATGCCTGTCCTTCTTATTATGCTCGTGGGATTTGAAAATACATTCTAATTGTCCACGTTATACTGTACAGTACAGGGTGTCCCCCAAAAAAGTGACACTATAGAAATTATCTCATTGTTCTTAAGCCGTATCTCTTGTATTTACATTTAAGCATTTTAAAACGTTTTCGCTTTGTCCAAATATTTTAACGCCCGAGTCAAGCAAAACGATTACACTAATAAACGGTTTGCTTTTTTATTTTAAGTTCCAGAAGCAGAAGTTTAACAGGGGCGGATCCAGGATTTTTCGTACGTTAGTCAAAGTTTTCGGATGTACAATCTAGTTTTGCGGGCGGCGAATGCGCGAGGCACCTAGGGGGGTCTGTCCCCCAGGAATTTTTATATTTTTAAACCTCCGAAACGCAATTTGCATCACTCTGAAAGCAGCTTCAACAATTAACTTCATGAAATGGGAGATAATTATAGCAACTATCAGTCTGACTGACTCTCACAACTCGCCCCTTAAGCCTGCAGCACACGAGAGCTATCTGTTGAGCCAAAAGTTACTCGTGCCTGTTAGCTCAGCCGATAGCTCACCGTGTGCGGGTACATTTTACTGAGTTTTTTGCCTCATGCAACCTTTTCTCACGTATCAAACATGTTTGATCGCTGAGCTATCGGCTGAGCTAACAGGCACGAGTAACTTTTGGCTCAGCAGATAGCTCTCGTGTGCTGCAGGCTTTAGGGAAAAGTAAAGGAGAAGTACTTGCAGAAATGTGATAATTGTGGAAGATGTTTCATTTTATCAAATTACGGATTGCTAGTATTATGTTTAACTATCTCATGATAGCACTGCACTCATTTTTGTTGCCTAATAGCCTTGTTGAGTCATTGATCACTTGACTAGTAATCACTACAGTGTCATATTACTCAAATAAACATATATCAATATTAAAGTCTTAACATTCATCTATAAAACCTGACCTTTATATCCTATGTACACTGCGTTAATGCATTTATATAGGTTATCCTCCATCAGGGCATTTTTTAAGAATTCGTCAGTGGGGGGGCCATCTACAAAAAGGGACCATACCATACCGAGTGTGGAGCAATGATAGATGATGGTTTGTTGGTAACAAAAAGTTTGGTGTGGTATCGCATTTAATAGTAGGGGGGGGGGGAGAGCAGGGCCGTAGGAAGCTCTTTTCGTTTGGGGGGCTGAAAGCGAGGGCCGAAGGCCCGAGGAAATTTTTAAATTTAGAGTCTCTGAAATGCCATTTCCTGGACTTTTTAGTATGTGGAAATTTAGAATTCAGTAGTACTAAATGGGCGAAGGCGTATTTAATTAACAATATATTGGATAAGTTGCAGGAAAGTATGGGTAATATCTTCATTCTTTGCAGTTTGTCATGGATTAAATGATAAAGGTCTGCATGATTTTGAAAAATGAATGATTATTAGCAAATTATTGGGGGGCTGCATCCCCCGGACCCCCCCCCCCCCCCGGCGTTTGCTACGGCCCTGGAGAGGGTCTGCGGTTTTCTCCCCCAGAAAATTTTTGTATTTTTCTACCCCTATGACTGCAATTCCCTGCATTTTCTGAAACAGATTTTTGGATATACAGCATTACATTATGCTGTAGATAGACTGAACCTGCAGTTAAGTACTTGCATAGTATGTTTATGTAGATACCACAACTTGGCAGTCACTTAGGGAGCCAGCTTGATAAACTTAGAGTTCCCGACTCCCACGAAGCGCCACCATGGTTGGCACAGAGTGGAAAAATTTTGAAAATTTTGCGTCTCTAAATCATCGGAAATGGCATTTTCAAAGTCTTCTATAGCCTACGTCTTTTGTTTGGCCCTTTCATTAATTCGTTCATTATGATTTGTGAGTCTATGATCGATATCCGCGAGTCAGGATGGATTATTACGAGAAATGTTATCAAAATATCGATTACAGATATTTGATTATATGTATATATGATTTCAAATACTTCTAGTATCGAAATCAAATTGTTTTTTTTGGTGGGGGCCAAAATTATCCCCCCCTTATAAAACACATGGTTGAGGGCCTGTTGCCCCCTGCGGTCACTAACTTGTCCAACAACTCAAATCTATAAGGTCTGGGAAATGCAATCCACTGCCTGGGAAATGTTTAAAATCTAAGGTATTTATTAAACATAAAAGACAGGACATAAGATTCACAAAGCAAATTTCAGTTACTAGAATATCAAACTTCCCTTCTAAATTCCATGTTTTGCTTATATTTTAGAGAAAAGGGACTTTGACTGGGGGGGGGCAAAATGGTTGAGTGGGGGGGGCCACCATGGGGGCTGGGGGGGCTTTGGCCCCCCCAGTTATATAGTTAAAAAATGCCCTGTCCTCCATATTAATAGCCTTGTGAGTTCTAACGGACCTTCAACCGCAGAATTACAAATATGCAATTTGTTGTGTAAATCAAAATTCATAGCTAAATCTAAATCAAGATACGCGTATTCAAGTTACAAGTTTACATATGCATGGCGCGCATCTTGTTCGCTTATAAATATTGTTATGCTGTCTAAAACGAAATAAAATTTACATATCACATTTAATTTACCTTATTGCACTTCAGAATAAAGATCTCGGCGCCAATACTTCTACTCAAACAGTCAAACTGTAGTTCGTGCTATTCGTGGCGCTTACGCCGCTTAGCAACTGCTCACTGAATGGAACTCTCCGATATTTAGCGTTGATTTTATTTTATTTTATTTTACTTTATTTTATTTTACAAGATTCGCCAAACATAACAGACATAAATAAGACTAATACTTTACAAAATTTACATACAATTCGGGCAGGGACTAGCCACAGAGATAATCTCCAATTATGGGGCCCCTCACAATAAGTTACAATATATAACATTAAAACGAATTATGCTAAAATGTCAACAACATGTCCTCACTAATCTTTAATCTTTAATCTTTAATCTTTAATAAAATTTCTTTTAACACGGTAGCCTATTCAGTATAATATATACAGTCTGTTTTTCAAAGGGCCGTGCTATATAGTATTAAACACACATTAACTATGGATATTTACAGTTAATTACAGCACATAATTATTACATACTCCATTAATTTCGGAAATGCATTATACATTATTCATGTGCACGGTTAAGGGCTAAACGCCTTTTGAAATTGGGTAAAGATAAATCCTGAATGTTATTAGTTACTTCATCCGATAATTCGTTCCACCCTTGTGCTGCTCTATAAGAGAAACTTCTTTTAAGAAAGTTGGTTCTTGGTTTAGGCAAAGATAGTTTAACATTATTGCTTCTTAGAGAATAATTACTATTTTCGCATCTCGTGAAGAAATTCTGCACATAATCAGGTAGTCTGTTAGTTAAAGCTTTAAACGTCATAATGATTTCTCTTTTTCTTTAAAATGTCTTCAATTGGCATCCAATTGAGACTTTCTAGTATTTGAGTGGAACGAACATCGTATGATTGTCCTGTGATAACCCGAGCTGCTCTTCTTTGTAACTTAGAGAGTTTGTTAAGAATGGTATTAGATCCATCATTCCATATTGTTGAGCAATATGTCAGGTGAGGAGATACTAGAGCATTA